TTTGCAAGCATAAATGGAAAATATAGTTTATTTTCCATATTTATATAAAAGTCGATAAAGAGCCTGCAGAAAATTGACATAATTCTTAGCCAAGAATTGCAATCAAAACAAATTATGGAATACTGATTGTTTCTTTGAAATATTATTAATTTTTTAATAAATTGTCATCATAAATGGAAAAGACTTGATATAACTATTTGCTTTTCGCTGAAAAACAAACCAGAAATGGTCATTACACACATTGCATCCATCGTTAAATTTAAATAAATATCAATAAGAGCCCCAATGAGGCCCATTTCAGGGGATTCACTTAAATGTGCATCAATTATTTATGAATGTGTGTGTATTTGCGGGTTCATAAATGTAAGTCAGACAGGAGTTCAGTGTGGGTCAAGGGAGACATCAGTGTGTCAGGCAGGCAGTCTGTCATGCCAACTGCTGACAGCTCCCAGTTCCCTTGCCGGCAAATAGTTCACGGCTCACGGCATGTGACGTATTCGCCACTGTGCTTCATTATGCAGCCAGGATGCAGGGCAGTTCCCCCTCACCTAAAGTCAGGAATTCTAGGTTTGCCATACAACCATCCTTCCTTCCTTCCTTCACATGACCAGATGCTTCAGTGTTGCCTTCATGTCCCAACATCTTGCAACATCCTCTGAACAGAGTAAAGGGGAGTTGCATATTGAGTTGGACCAAGGATCCTTATAAATAATTGAGAACTGTCCATAAATTGATTATACCGATTAAATCGATAGCTTTAACACCTTTTATAAAGATAATATATTCTAATGGAACACATTCTACAGTAACATGTATCATACTTTTATACTAAGGTATTCAGAAATCTATTCAGAACTTATAAAGCACAAGTTTCGAATTAAAATTATTTAGTTTTTACTGAGTTAAATTGTCAAAAAATAGGTATGGTATATTTTTTTCTTAAATTATTTATAATAGATTTTAGCTAGTCGCTTTAAATAATAAATTTAAAATAAATATAAAATATACATTTTGTTATAAAGTCACACACATTGAATCTGAAAAATGGTTCAACTAAAGTATGAAATTGTTCCTGTGGGTCCTACTCGTCGTGCTCCTTGCAATCCCCTTGAACATTTATCCACCGAATTGTGGGTGGCAACATCTGTGGTGTGGGTGGTGGTCGCAGCAGTGGGGCATTATATAATAATGCATAAGAGTGGGACTTTTGGGTTTGCGGCCACATTGACCTCACCTCACATCGCCATCGCATCGCCATCGCATCGCATCGCATCGTCGTCGCATCGCATCGCACGGCATGCGACTATGTGTTGTGCTATGTCAAAATTGTTCGACAAGTTCGTGTACTTGAACTGTCAACCTGTGTTTTGGGCTGGAATTGTTGTTGTATTCTGTTTACGTGCCGGTGCCATTCTTGTATTTGGCGGCCAGGATTAACTATCGAGCTGTTTTCGCTAGCCTTTGCATATTTATAATTGCTAGTCACGTTCCGGGGCCAAGTTTGTTACGGTTTAAACGGTTCTTTGAACTTGAAGCGATTTTTGAATATTTAAAATACTTTCCAGAGAACCAAAGCGACAGGTGAGGCGGAACGAGTTTCCAGAAGTTTGTTTGACAGGATTCACAACATGTGACATGTTTAAGGAAACCATAATTGTTTAAAGAAACTAAGAGATATTAATGAAGAGGAATTTTATGTCTGATGTAAGAATTATTTTAAAATCGAACAACCACCCAAGGTTATTCAAGTATAATTTTATTGTATTAGACCATTATAGTTGCCGGAAAACGACTGCTGCTGAGTGCCCTTTCGGCAAAACCAAATCTATTTTCAAAGTTTTTTGAAAATAAACAAAAACTATTGCTCGATGTGTTTGGCAGTTGAGCCAATTAACCCGAAATTAATGGATAAACAATGTAATGTGCGACTCTGGTCATTGGGAATTGTTTGGGCGACCTGCTCGTCGGCCAAGGAACGAAATAAATTAATTGCAGTCGCCAGCGGGTTCACCGCAGGTGGGCGTTGGGAGTGGGAGTGGGTGGCGTCGAATGGGTGGCGATTCGAAGGAGGCACAAGGACGTAGGCCCGAGAGGCGCCATGCTGCAGTTGCCGAAACAACAAATGAAAATAGAACTTTAATTAAAAGCCAAGGGAGCCAGAGGCAAGTTGTGGCAGCAGCAGCAACGCTGCGAGGGGGAAATAAAATGAGCCAACATTCTAATAAAGAAAATAGTAGCTCACCCACACAGCCGCTTTCTGTATCAACTACAAATACTGAGGCACAGCGAGAAATTGGTAATGAGTTATTTAAAATTATAAATGCAATGATGGTTTTTACTTCCCCGTTCAACTATAAATAAATATAACCTCATAAGGTCTATTTGAGCTTATTACAAGTTTGTTCTTTGGGTTGATAAACCTTTTCTCTTAGTGCTTCATTGGGCACATTTAGAAGCAGAGGCCGAACCGCGGGTGCTCTTTGCTATTTAAAGTCCATCTGCAGTTGGCCTTATTTCAGCCATATCTGGCGCTTTAAGTTTGTTGGGGGGAATATCATCCTTCATTCGGATGCGATGATACAGATACATATGTCAGTTGGCGGCGGCTAAGCACGCTCCAAATGGCCCAAAGGCGACGGGTTTCTTGGTTCTGAGCCCTCCTGAGCTCCTGTTGTCGCAGCTGGTTCGCTTCGTTGACTTGGCGGCATTAAAGCCGGGCTAAAAACCCCGGCTAAAACTTAAACTAATCACAGCGACGATTGCAACACGCGCTGGCTGGCAAACACAAAACAAGCGACAGGTGAAAGGACGCCTCGAGTGCCTGGCACTCAAGACTTGGTCCACACTTTACTGCGAATGCTTTAAGATCGCAAAACGCATTCATCGACCGAACTCGTACAATTTAATTAGACTAGTAAGACTTCCTCGTTGCCCCATTCTATTACGGAAAATAATTAATGAATTCATCTGGCCTAAGTGCACTCCCATTATGCTCGACGGCCGCGGGGATAACCACCACTATATACTATACTATATATTCGCCATAACTATCACGATGATGATGATGACGTCGCCGAGTCTGTTGACTTTTGACGTTGATGAGTGAACAAGAACAATTGCAAAAAGTACTCAGCATGGCACATATGCCAAGGGAACATGAATGCCATGATTACAGAGCTGATGAAATATGCATTATCTGGTGGCTTGTGGACAAAAGTTTTTGGCGAAAATAAAAGTTTCATCTCGGCATTTGTCTTAGTAAATGTGCAAAACTTTTCAAGAATTAGAATAGAGTCTTGAAAATTGTTCCAAGAACATTTTATACGGCTTCAAAGACTTTAAAAGAAGGCTACATAAAAGTATACAAACGTCCCTACATTTTATTGTATTTTATAGAAAAATGTTTCATAATTTGAGCAAAATTTAAAGCGTATATTAATAATTTACTAAAATCTTCACATATTTCTCATATTTTATGGGTTCAGATGTTAAATAATAACATTTTGCAAATATTATCTTGTATTTTATTGCTAATTCTGTGTCGTAGCTTGAAGGCAAATTATATTTTCTAAGAACAACAAACGCAAAAGTATTGTTTTTAGCTTTCTGTTTAAATTATGACCACAAGGTATTTATCTGTGGAATTATCTCATAAGAGCACTCTCTGAATGAATATATTTGTGTATTTATATCCGTTTGAGGTTGAACAATGCTACCAAGAAATATTATTTTCCTAAGCTATTCATAATCTTTAGTCGTCGCGGATTTTACTTAAGTGATTCTATAATTTGCTTTCCCTCCAAACGTATCTATATTGTATATTTACCTAGCGTCATAAATCTCAATGAAAACGTTTAGGAAGCGAAAAATGCTGACGCCTACAGCTGGATTATCACCCTAGTCAGAGATATATAGCGTATACATATACATTTGTGGCTAGGCCTAAAATTAAATTCTCCCCACCGAATTTTGCCGCAGTTTGCGGTTTTTCTTTGCATTCAATTTTCGCTTTAAAGGAAAACTAGCTGAAGCGAATCCCATGGAGTCGTGTCCATCAAAGTGTTCAGGCCACCACCGTTCCGGGCCGGAATTGCACCAAAAATTCCCCGAGCTGCACCCCCTCCCTGGTGCAATCAATTGCACATTGTGCACGTAGAGATGCCAAAACTATGTGCGTGTTTTGGTTGCATTTCGGGGGACGGAGGAAAAGGTCGGGGCCAGGTTTTCTAGGGGCGTGTGAAATCGAAACCATTGAAACCGAAAGCACTGAATGAACTGAAACTTCTGCGGCTCAGCCTTGGGATCGAATTGAATTTTTCGGTGGCACGCCAGGCCACAAACTTTTGCGACCCATGTGGCCAAGTAACTGACCCACATCAGCCCGCAAAAATACAAAAAAGTGCAAAAAAAGGAGAGAAAATCACTGAATGTCTGCGAAAGATTTTTCATGTCGTGTGCTGCTAGCTGGTTGGGTAACCCAAAAAAATAATGGAGGGAAAACTCGGGAAAGTTTTTGGACGTTAAAGCTACTGGGCGCACACTTCATAATTGTATGCGAGTTCTCTGCAAAGTTGTGGCTCCGGGGCCAGGAAAAGTTTCAAGGTGCAAGTGCCAACGCGGCGTATACGTCATAAAACCACATTGTGGCCTGTCCACGGGAGAGTGTGCCCGGTCAGCTCTGTGAATTGGCTGTGAAGCATCTGTTTGGAAAAAATATACGTACTTGACGTACTTGAATGGCATGGAAAAATCGATTCGAGCTGCACTTTTTTCATTAAGCCATCATCTCCTGTCGATGAAATGCAAATGGGATGCGAATAGGCGTGCAAAATCCACATGGTCAGTGAAATCTTCATTAAAGGAAGCCTCAGTGAGAGTGCTTAAATTCGATACTTAATTGGAAAATATTCTGCTGTTCTCTGTGGGTTTAAATTAAAATAAAAAATTAAATATTATTAAGAGTGTTCAATTCAGTTAAAACGATAATAAAACCCCTTTACTCGAATAAAGCTTTAAATGTATTTGCATAAGATATCCCTTGCCCTGTGATAATGATCGTAATAAAGATATTACCCTTTATAATCTTAACTTTACAACAGCAATCGGTCTTTGAGGGTTAAACAGGATACAGTATCCGAGCACCTGGCCTGCGTGGCATTGGTGCAAAGGTGCGAGGTGCTGTCAAAGTAAGTGGATCCCGGGCAACTGTAGATATTGCCATAGAAAATGCCAGCATAGGCATAGCAGTTCACATATCTGGAATAAGATTTTATATTATATTTCTATTTAGTATCTATATTTTTGATATACTCACTGCCTGCAGGTGGTTGAGGTATCTCTGCCATAGGGAAATCGCCCCGATTGCTGGATGGACTGACAGTATTCGGTGGGATTTGTAATGGCTGTGCCATCGCAGGGTCCCGTTCCCGAATCCAAGCAGGTCACGGAATTCGTTGTGGGACTGCCACAAATATTGGCGTTTTCCAAGTTGCAAACAAAGTTCGAACCGCAAGTTCCACCAACCGAAGTACTGGGCGTGCTGGTTCCCAGGCACAGGGCGAAGGTGTTCCTGCCGGTGCAGGCGAATCTATTATCGCTGCTGCATTTATTGCAGCCCTGACAGGTGACCAAGGTGGAGTCGCTGTTGCAAAACGGTGACTGCTCCGTGCAGTAGGTTCCACTGGGGCAGGTGTACAGGCCACCGATAGCCACGGAATCCGCGGAGCAGAACTGGAACTGGGTGGCCGACACGCAGGCCACTTGGGTGGTTGTGGAGCACTGATTGCAGGCAGCCTGGCATCCGAGGACTGCGACTCCCAGGAAGATCAGCAGGCGCAGCATTTTCAAACTCTGACGGGAAACTGACGGAATTTTGGATCTGCATCCGTATTTATTCAGTTGAGCTTATCTTGTTCAAGAGCAATTATTCCCATCTCATTGCTAATCTTTGCGGATATACTAGGATTTATATCTTGAATGCACTTTATGTCACGTGATAAAAAATAGTTCTTTGTTAACAAACAGCAGTGATAAACCCTTATTGTTTTACTGCTGGACAATATTTGCAATATTTGTAAGCTATCTCGGATTTAATTTTCTAGTAATTCCCCTAAAGGGCCCTCCAAACAAAACTTTGAAGTATTGTACAAATTTGATTTAAAGAAACTGATTATGTCCGCAGTAAGAAAATACATATATATTCTTTCATTGGAAACATGATCTTGGAAGAAACCTGGTTTGGTGAACAGTCTGTGGAACATATTTCAAAATAAACCACCAGGATTTTCTTTAAAAAAATTTACATATACATAAGCCTAGCGAGATTTCTACTAAGAAATAATATAGTCAAATAAAATAATACAGTTCTCATAGCATTTATTTAATTGGTATTAATTGTATTCCATCAAGTTTAGTAAATCGGATGTTGCAGTATTAGATTATGGATTCGTTAGTTTGATAGACTCAAAGTGGCCACACCGGAAGTGCATCGTGGGGGAACCCCAGTACCGCAGAGTCTAGAGGTGCTGTTGAAGTAGGTGAGGCCAGGACAGTCATAGAGACCTCCGATCCAGGCATTCGCATTCAAATGACAATAAATGTACCTATTGGGAATATTAAAAACTATATCAAATAAAGGTTACACAAATATTCAATTCTAAACTCACTGCCTGCAGGTGGTGGTCAGGTCGATGCCATAGGGAAACCTTCCGCTTTGCTGCACGGTTGCGCAGTATTCCGAGGGTGTCATAGTGGTGGGATCCACTCCGGGCACTCCATCATTGCTGCCCGGACACGTGGCCTGAGATCCTGCGGCAGTGGTGCCACATATATTTGCATTGTTCCAATCGCAGACATAGTTCGTTCCGCAGTTTCCGACGATCTGCGATGGCGTAGTGGAGCCCAGGCACAAGGCAAAGGTGGTGGCACTGGTGCAGGCGAAGGTGTTGTCCGCGTTGCAAGTGCCACAGCCCACGCAGGATTTGAAGGCTTCGTTGGCATTACAAATTGCAGCATTCGCCGTGCAATAGTACCCTGTGGGGCAGTTGTACACGGCACCCGTGGGCAGATCCTGGGTGGAGCAGAACTGGAAAGCGGTGTTCGAGACGCAGGCCACGTTACTCTCCCCCGAACAGACATTGCAGTCCGACCGGATGCCCTGGATAAGGATACTCAGGACAACGCCAAGTCCTAGAAAGATCAGCAGACGAAGCATCTTTGAGGCAAACTAATGATTTTGCATTCAGGCAGCTGACTTTATGCACTCGGATTTATCTTATCACGCGGTGTAAACTAGAAAAGTAGAGCTTTCAACAAGTAGATCTAACAACGAGCTGTAAATGCAATGAGATTAATGACTAAAATTAAGTATAGTTAATAGTTTTGGTACTTTTACGCATGGAAATGCATTTAATTAAATATGATAAAATTTAGCATAATGCTCACTCTTAAAATTATATTATACAATTTAAACAAAGACAGTCAATTATGTTTTAAGCATGGAAATTATATTAGTATAGTATATTATTATGCAGAACTTTTAATAAATAAGACAATAATTTAAAGTTAAAAAGCTTAGGCCTGTATACCTTTGCAGGTATTATTGGATTTTATTTAACTATGAGTATAAAAATTAAACAAAAAAAACTGTTTTAAATTTTTTTTAATTTTAAAAATGAAATCTATTTATTTATTTACTGTTTCTCTGGTATTCCAAAAAAGAACAATGTAAAAAAGGTCATTTAGTTATCTAGCCACGTTTCTTTATAAATTAAAACAATGTTTGTGTTTTACATCACGTGTTTTAATTAACTCTTTTTATTTTTATTACGTGCCGCTCACAGATCACGACAGAAGTGCGAAATCGTAAAGATAATGACGTACGAAACTGTAAACAAGTATGATATATTCATTTTACATGTTGTGTTTAACAAGAGATAAGATTGCAATTTCAGTTAAATAAATTTAGGCAAATAATTACACAAGTGAAAATCAAGTACAGGAATAAGGTTTGGTGTTAGTACAAGCCAGGGTGCTGGGATTAAAATAAGGTTTTGTGGAAGGACACAGCCAGGCATTTCCAGTCCAGCCGGTAGATTTGCGAACACAGTAGATATATCTTGACAAAAAAACCCGTCAGATCGGTTATTAAAAAGTTATTAAAAGGAATTATATCCAGGAAACTCACCGGAGGCAGCTAAAGTCATTGGGATAAGCATAGCGTCCTGTGGAGGCTTTCAGGCTGCAAAAGCTATCAATTTCCGTCGGAGTATCGTAATACGAGCAGGTGGCACCCGTGCCATTCAAGGGTGCTCCACAAATGATCGGATTATTGATGTTGCACACCTGTCCCTGGGTGCAACTGTACTCCATGCTCATCACATTCACACCTGAACACGCGGCGAAGGTGCTGGGACTTGTACAGGTGAACAGCTGAGTGCCATTGCACTTGGCGCATTCCGAACAGGCGATCAAGGCCTCATTTGAGGTGCACAGTTCAACGGAAGCAGTGCAATTGGTATTATTCGAACAGGTGTAAATGGGTCCCATTGGAATGCCATTTGTACAGTTTTGGTACTGGTTCCTAGACACACAGGCCGCCTTGGTGTACGAGGAACACGCATTGCACTCCGCCTGGCTAAAGGTGAAGCAAATGGTCAGAAGGATTACCACGCACAGCAAATGGCGGAGCATCTTCGAGAGCAACTGCAGTTACTGCAACTATACATCGAGATTCAGTATCTAAAGTATCTTATCCAGAAAGTTGGTCAAGATTATCATTATCGTAATTGCTAGTAAAAAGCTAGTAACATTGCCAACCAAATATTTGAAAAGTGACTATAAAACATTCTCGTTATCAGAGCAAAAGCTTTTCAATATGTTTTATATAGTAGATTTTAAGATTGTAGTCTTAACTATTAGATTTATCCTTTGAAATGTTTCCTTAAATGTAAACAAAAATACTTACCAGCAATTTTCATTGATTTTTCTAATACTTGCTTTAAATAAAAATATATATTAAATATAATATAAAAATATATTATAAATGTAATTAAATATATTTTTCAAGACCCAAATACTTAAATGCCACTGTTTCCTTTTCCCCTTTTCAACTTCAAGAAAATCCAAAAGTCGCCGGAAAGTATGCTAGGCTTAACCAGACGACCCAACCTGAAGCCCGGGAGCTTATCTAAATTGGAGCAAACGTCAAGGTCCCGCTGCCCGAGGTCTTTATGGATTAGGGGCAATCTGCGCACTCCAAACCAGCTGCCGAAAAAAAAACAGCACGCTATTTAAGCCGTCTGGCTGCTGGCCATCAGCATCAGTGGTAAGACAATCGCAGCCAGAAATGTCACCTAACCGTATTTGCCTGCCACTTGGCATGGCGCTCATCCTCGTCCTCGTCCTCTCCTGTCTGGTGTCCTCGATTCAGGGCACCTGCAACGTATGCAATGCCGCCAACAATCTGACCTGCTACTCCGCGACCCAGATGCAGGCCTGCCAAGTGGGCGTCCTGGCCACCGCATTGCCCGCCGCCTGTCCCGACGGTTATGTCTGCGTCAGTGCATCCAGCGGGGTGCTCTGCCAGCCGGAAGGGGATGGAGCCATATCCGACTGCCAGGAGTGCAACAAGTGCGATTCCAGCCAGACTTTTGCCTGCACCGGAACCGGAAGCTTCGCCCTGTGCCTGGGTACGTCCACCGTCCAGGATTCGACGGGCACCTGTGCCCAGGGCTATGTGTGCAACGTCAACGATACCCAGATATGCGGTCTGCCAGCGGATGGGGTGAGTTCCGGGTGCCTGAAGGTATAGAGTGTGTCATAAAGATGAGTTTGCTGCTGCTGAAGGGAAGTTCTACAAGAAATATGACAGAAATAGGAGCTGAGAAATGTGCTGAGAGGAAATTAAATGCCAGAAAATATGATTCGTTTACTTGATTGTAGCATAGTTTTTCCTTTTATTATATTGATTGCATAATAATTTCCTTGAATTTTAAAGGATTTTATAGAAATATTGAAACTCTAACCTTAGCTTAAGCTTAAATTTGACTTACTGCATGCAATATTTATTATATTAAATACTGACATTTCACCAGGTGATGCCCACCTGTTCGTATGCCGGTGACACAACCACAAGTACCACCTCTAGCACCACTAGCACCACTGCAACCACACCTTCCACTAGCTCGGCGTCCTCGTACTGTGCAGCGGTCCAGAAGCAGGGAAAATATGCGGTGGGCAATGACGCCTCCACGACCTGTCGCCAGTACATTGCCTGCTCCCTGGTCAGCGGTAGATGGATCGGCAAGACCTACACCTGTCCGGGTAACATGTACTTTAGCAGTGCCTCCGCTCTGTGCGTAACATCCCTGCCCTCGACATGCTCCACCAGTGTGAGTTCCACCACCTCAACAACCGTGGCACCGACGACCAGCAATCCCGATGCATATTGCCAGGCAATGAGGGCACAGGGAACCTTTCCAGTGGGCACGGTGGCCAGCACCACATGCCATCAGTATATCTACTGCTTCCTGCTCAGCGGTGTCTGGAACGGTCAGATGTACACCTGTCCGGGTAACCTGTACTACAACAGTGCCAAACGCATCTGTGAGGCCGCCCTGCCCTCCACCTGCTCCGCCACGGTGGCCAGTCTAACCCTCAATGGAATCCTCCTGGATTAAAAGACCTGCGTTAGGGGCAGAGTATTTCGAGGTTTTATTATTTTGTGCTCTTGGCTTAACTCTTTAGACAGTTGCCCGGATTCACATAGACACAGCTCTGCGTCTGGGAAACGAAGAAGGAGTCCGTGGGGCAATTGAGTTCCTCAGATCTGATAAGCGTTGTATTCTTAAAGTAGCAACTAATGTAGCTGTAAAGATAAAAGAATGAAATTTATTAAAAGACAAACTTCCGAGTAGGAAAATTACGCCAATTCACGCACTTTTGTAGACCCACAAAACAAAAGCATAACAAAGATCATGCCGGTATGAGATGGTCTCTAATAATATTCTAAAATTAAGTAAAATCTACTCACCGCTGGCAGTAGGGATCCGCAGGAACTGTTGGGTAAAGCCCAGTCTTATTTCTTTCGGAGCACATCTGGGTGGGAGTATAAGGAGTCGAAGTGGTGGACTCATCTGTGGTGCTCTCCACAGTACTAATTGTAGACTCCGTGCTGCTCTCAGTGATCCCATCCGAGGAGGCAGTGGTGGTGTCCACCAGTTCATCGTTGATGTCACAGGTGACCGTTTGACTTTCCTCCTCGGGCACACAGATGGTGGTGCTACTGGCATCGCAGACCTTTCCCTCGGGGCAGTATCCGAACTTTCCTGTGGGTCTGGTGGCTCCGTAGCACATCTGGAAGATGCCACGACTCTGGCAGGCGAACAAGTAGTTGCTGTTGGCACTACACTGGCCACACTTTGAGGTGTCACCACAACTTGGAGGACGCTGACTGCTCTTCTGGACACAGATTGCCGTGAGATTGGTGCAGTCGAAGCCTTCTAGGCAATGATACAACTGATCCCGATGAGGGGTTGCATCTGGGAAAGTATTAAAATAATATTAAATACTTAAAGGAAAAGGTTTTACTTTAAGCTTACCTCCAAAGCAGAGATAAAATGAGGTGGAGTTGATGCAGGCCACCTTATTCGGCTGACAGACATTGCAGTCGGACAGGGTTTGGACCACGAAGAGGGTAAGAATAACCTGAAAATGTAATGAGTTTAATTCCTTTGCAAGGTTTTCAGTTTCATGGTTATGGAATCCAGCATTTAAAATTTTAAATAAATTAGATAAATATATTTAGGCAATGGAAACATATGTATATCCATGAAGTTGTCGCTGAATCTTGTGTATTTCATACTAAAATTGTAAATGGAAACAGAGATTACTTGAGATCAAAATATGATTCATTTTTGTCTATGATTTGAATAAGAAAACCAGAGACGGTCTCTATTAGAATTTAATAATATCCTTTACCACTGCTAGTCCCTTAACTAAGTACTCCATCCTTTGGGCCATTTTACTAGTAGTTTTCTACTTCCTATGAACTGCTCACTGTCAAGGTTCTGCGGCTACTAAAGTTGTCCCATCCAAGTTCCATGTTTTAGTCGGACCAATGTTTATCTACTCTTTGCTTTTCTCCGCGCCTGCTAATTGTTTTATTTGAATTGGCTTTCCACATGATTGCGGTTTTATGGGCGCTCAACCCGTGATGGTAATGTTTCTAGCGGCTTTCGGCGGCAGGCTGCATCGAAGTTAATTGAGACGTGGGTGCGGGCATTGACCAGGAGTCGACATATTCGTTAATTACCAGGCTCCAAACAGGTAGAACGACTTGGGCAAAGAAAGTTGTAGTAAACTTGTTACTTTGACTCATTCAAAATATTGCGATTTGGTATTCAGACATTCTCTAAATATTTAATAAAACAGTGTTGAGGTTATTGACAGCAAAAAGTAGGAAGTTGGTTTGATAATCCTACACAGAACTAAATTTAAGGTATATTCGATAGAAATATTTATATATTAAACTTATCTCCGTTATAATATGTATATATTATCACCATGTGAGGTCATCAGATGCACTTTCCAGCTACTTGTTTTATAATCTTCATATATCTAGAACTAAAACCTATTATAATTCTGTTGCCACTGTTTGCAACTAGAGCTTATTTAAAAAGTGCATTTTAGATATCTTCCTCAGTTAGTTTGCAACTCCCAGAACCTGCATAATGCAGCACCACCAGTTCCTCAAAAATCTGGTTAATATATTAAGAGAAAGGCCTTTAAAATCTCAAGATAAATTTCAAATATTTTGTAGTGCTCCTTGGTGGCCATCAGTAGCCTGTTTGGCGTGGTTCTGACCGCTGTAACGTGCAATAATTGCCAGGATAACAATGTAAAGTGCGTGAACGAGACACACTTCAGCTTCTGCTCGAGTGGAGTGTCACCAGATCTGGTAATTGGATGTCCCGATGGCCAGGTTTGCACCGCTTTGGGCCAGATTTGCATGCCAGTGGGAGCTCCTCCTGCCTGTACGGAAGTGAACTGTCCCACCTGCGATGGATCCTCACCGTTCGTCTGCACCAGCAGGACCACCTTCCAGACCTGCAATGGCTATGAGCTGGGCGACCAAATAATTAAGTGCAAGGATAACACATTCTGTTCCATTAACTCGGGTAAATACTGCGTTGATCGCTGTGAAGCCTTAAAATTGGAGCCCACCTTTGAGTGCGACAGAGAGGCTACTTGAGAAGGATGAAGTTTGAAGTCCATCTCATAAAATTTAAAAATACTGTTTAACCATAAACTTCACAATAAATAAGTAGGCATTTCAGTCAGCCTTAACTAAATCAGTTTGCAACCATTATTTTTAATGTATAATATTTATTAGAAGGGAGTATATGAAGCTTTAAAATAGATATACATATGAAGATTATATGCTTAATTTGTGCAACCTGCCAGGGTTGGTTTTTCAAGATCACAAGTTTTAATATCCGCATTAAAATAGGGCTTTTCCGTGGTGCAGTTGTACAGTAGTCCCACATAACCAGTGGCTCTGTATACGCAGTAGATATAGCTAGAAAAATCGAATATATTCAAAATTAGATATATGGAGGTGTTATACAATAGGTGTTTTAATGAACCTACTTTGTGCACTCCGTGTCATTGGGAATGGGATAACGACCTGTGGTGTTCAGGCCTTGGCAATACACAACCTCATTGAAGGGCGGTGCTGTTGTACTATCCGTAGTACTACCTGAGGTACTATCCGTAGTACTACCTGAGGTACTATCCGTAGTACTATCTGAGGTACTATCCGTAGTACTATCTGAGGTACTACCTGAGGTACTATCTGAGGTACTATCTGAGGTATTATCCGAAGTATTATCCGAAGTACTATCCGAAGTACTATCCGAAGTACTCTCCGAAGTACTCTCCGATGACGCTTCCGTTGACGTCTCAGTAGTTATGGTTGATGAGGAAGTATCTGAGCTAGTTACTGTTGAAGAAGTATCTGTGGAGCTTTCTGTACTTGCAGTAGTGACATCGTTATCATCGGTTTCCAGAACTCGATCACATATATCCGAATTATCCATATCGCAACGGGTAACACAGGGATTTCCCTCCTTGGCGCCGTTTACACTGCATACGTAGTCCTCGGCACAGGTGTAGTTATCCCCGATAGCCTCACCATCACTGCAGACAGCAAAGGTGGTCAAGGAAGTGCAGGCAAAGATGTTTGTTCCAGTGCAAATTTCACATTGGGAAACGTCACCACAGGCCCGGGGAACTCCCACACTGTCCGGCATGCAAACGGTGCTAAACTCCGTGCAAATGGGCTTGTCCTTTGGGCAAGTGTACGTGATACTCTGGTCCCTGACACCTGGAGAAAGTGGATAATAAAGGTAAACCATTTCTGACTGATCGAAAACTTACCATTGTAGCATATCTGGAATTGGCCCTCGGCAGTGCAGGTGTGCGCATCGACACACTGATTGCAGACGGCATCCACGGGCTTTCCCGGAACCAAGAGAGCCGCCAGTAAAAGTACAAGTTTTAACGCTTCCATTGTGAGTTTTCTAATGAGTCGCAAAGGAGCAAATGAGCAGCTTTATAAACCCCAACGGAAGACATATCTTTATGGCAATCTCGGGGCCATAACACTTATCTTTCAATGCCGTACAGGTCATAAAGGGGGCTTCCTAGTAAAAGGTAATCTTTGGGTAGCACGGGAGCTCGTATATTTACAAAAATCTCTAAAAGACTTAGCCCCCACAATAAACCTAAGATATCTTATGTTTTTCCCCCGAGATCAGGAGATCTTCTGCTAATATAAAAGCGCTATGCATGGCTGGCACTTCAGTTAGTCAAAGTCAAAGCAAGCAATATGCTGCAGTCCCAGAACCTGAGAATTCTAGTGAGCTTTACTTAAAATTTGTATTAGAGAATTTTTCTAAACTTGACTCATTTCCAGTGCCTCTTGGCCGCCATCAGTTCCATGGCCGTGATGGTGGTTGGCATCTGCGATAGCTGCCAGACCAACAATGTGGCCTGTCTGAACGAAACCCATTACCGGATGTGCTCCGCCAATGTGGCCCCCAATCAGATCCTGAAGTGCGGTGAAAACAAGGTCTGCACTGAGTATGCCGCCATCTGCATGGATAAGGATGCCGTGCCGGCTGCCTGCCCCGCCGATGGAGCCAATGGATCCTGCGAGACCTGCAACGGCAACAACCTCTTTGTCTGCACCAGTCGCACCACCTTCCAGATGTGCGACGGCACCACTCTGACGGATCAGGTCACCTATTGCAAGGATAACAAGATCTGCTCAATCTCCTCCGGAAAGTACTGTGTGGATAGCTGCGAAATCACAGGCTCTGTGGAATGCGACAGGGTTGCTCCTTAAGGGAGAGTGGCACTTGTGTATTATATAATATCAAATCTACCAAATAAATAATGTTTTTTATAATAACTGAAATAAAATAACAGACTTTTCATAAAACTAAATATTCTTTGAGGTGTTTAAAGGTGAAATCTTATCTTTATCCACAGATATATCTTATCAGTAGCGTTGGAAGCACTGCAGATATGTGAGATGTAAAGAATTTAGGTTTAAAGTTTTAAGTTTAAGTTTTAAAGTTTATTAAATAATTACCATCAACTGCTGTGTTTTAATAAGGATTACACAAGTTAATAATATTATTTAGGATGGTTTATAACACTCACATAACTTCTTAACCCATTTAAGGCATTCATTAATTTGCTTTTTTTGCCAAGGAATAACCTTTGGTTCCTTTCACTTTAGAATTAGTAAATATTACCTTAATTTATTTTTCAGCTTAAATGAAATAATCTCTATTATCCTTCAGAGTTTGTTTATTAGTCATTGCCGTATAATTTATTATTTGCAAATTACTCTTATTTCTGGGAATAGTTTTCCACGGAAATGACAGCCTCGAAGAATCCCGGTCATATATTTCATGTTACGGCCTTCCAGCTAAGAGCTTATCGTTGTTTTGGCCACATATCTCCTCGCCCTGCCAGGGCCAAAAGCTACGCAAATTCTGTTGCGAAGGTCAGTTCTTTTGCCTACCGAAAAAAATAAAAATAAAACAAATATTCTGATGCAGCATAGTGAGGTAACTTCATTAATTTTAAATAAGCCTTAATTGAATTAAGCAATTTAATTGACATTGACCCAATTACACACTGGAGGTGTGTGTAATCAAATTAGACATGTGAAGCAATGACGTCAAAGTGCTGTGTGTAGGAAGCGGCCATAAAAATTCCAATTGGTAATGGGTGCAAACGGTGGCAGCATTTACCGAGATTGCCCCTGCTGCGTCTGTGGGTGGGTGAGTGATGCCGTAAACAAATTGCCCCCGGCACTTTCATGCTCGAGTTTTCGACCTGGCTAGGAGTTGCTCCACATTTAATGGTCGCCACAGAGGTGTGGAAAACAAATTCGCAACAGGAAGCAAACGTGAAAGAAGAGATGGGACCGCCTACCATCCAAAACAGTCAACAAATCTGACAAATCTACACATCCCCGGCCAAATACACTTGGAAAAATGAGTCGGAATTACATTTAGAAATATGGAAAAGATATTTAGAAAGTAGAGAAAAATATCCAATATTTGTAAGGAACCTAAACAGGTTTAAATAAATTATTTAATAGTGTCACGGAAAGTGTCAGCTTTTTTATATTGATTTCATGATTGTTAATACCTTGGAGTATTCTAAATTTGTAAAATATTATCTACTGTTTTACCTACCTTTTTCTTATTTTAAAGTCTTTTTGGAAAGCTAAACATATTGGTATAAAATCCACCTTTCAAACACCTTTTCTAACAGTGCACCTGGCTGATTGTGGCGCATCTAATTGTTGTCGCAGTTGCGTTTTGTTATTGTAATTAATATTCAGCTAAATTCAGCTGGGCTTACTAAAACTAAAAAGCGAAAAGCGTTGAACAAATTGCGGTCATTAAACTTTTTGCCACGCCAAGTGAAATAAATTGTCGCCCCCGGCATTGCTGCCTGCCATAACAAAGTCACAAATCAACGCGAGCGGATCTGAGTGCGGATTTACTATCAAAAAGCAGTGCCGATCTCCCAGTGGATTACCATGATGCTGCTGCAGCTGCAACTAGCCGTGCTCCTTGGCCTCCTGGTCCTGGCCACCTGTAAGGTGCACAAGCAGACGGCCACAAACAGTTGGCGGGATCTAATTTTCGGCAGCAAGTGGCTGACTCCCGCTCCGCGTCTAAGGGAATCAAAGTGTGGGTTCGACTTCGAGTGTTTTAAGTCAAGAAAAATATTAATATGAAGTTATCCCCTTCAGTCTTGCCCATTTTCGCCCTGGTTCCCATCGGTCCTGGCAGCTGTTCAGCGCCATCGGGTGAGCAGGGAAACTGCATTCCCAGCAAGGATTGTGTCCTGCGGAATGGCATTCCGGCGGGTCCTTGTGGCGGTGGCTACGGCGTCTGCTGCATTTGTGAGTTATCAGTAGAGATGAACTGGAAAATATAATATTTGAAAACTCTCCGCGCTCAGTTCTGCAGACTTGCGGCGGTGTGATACGCGAGAACTCCACCTACTTTGTGAATCCCAATCATCCGGATGTGTACGACGGAACCGGAAGCTGCCAGGTGACTGTCCAGAAGCTCCATCCGGATATCTGTCAGTTGCGCCTGGACTTGGATATGTTTTCGATAGCACCTCCAGAGGCAGCCAATCATCTGTGCAATCAGGATCAGTTACTGATATCGGGCGGCAGTCCCACACCAACGATTTGTGGCAGCTCAACGGGTGATCACAGTGAGTAAAGGTTTTATATTTTAATTCTAATATTATAATATATATTCATAGATTTAAATTTCTACTTGTCAAAACTTTAAATTAGAACCTTTTAGATTTATTTAACAAAGTAAAAATCATAATTTACTTTCACTTTTCAACAATTTGATCAAATACGATATGCATTCAGAATCGTTTTTGTAAAGCAATTATATATTTATTCCACAATTCTTTTGTTCTGATCATCATAAAAAAATATCCGAATTTAAAAGATGTGATCAACCTTTATTCCTCTGATAATATTGTATAATACACCCGACAAAGGAACAATGACAATTTATGATCCGTGTTACTAACAAAACGCTCTCACTTACCAATGCCAACCTTTCGCAGTGTACATTGACGCAGGTCTGGGCCAGAGTAATCCCATCGTGCTGTCGGTCATCACCAGTGCCAGCTTCCCTCGTCTCTGGCGCATCCGCGTCACCCAAATCCATTGCGGAAGCATCAGCCGGGCGGATCAGGGTTGCCTGCAGTACTACACCGCCATTAGTGGGCGGGTTAGGAGCTTCAACTACAACAACATAGGGGGCAGGCAGCTCTCCAACCAGGACTACAGCATCTGCATCCGGAATGAGCGCAACTTTTGTGGCATCCAATACAATACTTGTCCGGATCTGGAGAACAACAGATCGAGGGCCTTCACACTATCCGGAAACTCCAACAATCCGGTGCCCACAATGGTCGGCGGTGGAGGAACAGTGCCACCGAATCCCAATGGATGTGTGAGCGACTGGCTCCTGATTGGCTGCATCCGATCGGCGGATAGGATTCCACCGCTTCCAGGATGCGAGGATCGGGTCTGTGGTGGCACTTTTAGTGCCGAGGCTGGAATGCTTGCAAGAACTGTGCAATGTGAGTACAATTAACAAGCCTTTCTTATACTATCTTTCTCTGGTTGATTATGACAATTATCCTTTTTTTCTGATCCTTTCACAGCCAGCGTTCGTCCCTTTCGACTTTACTTCCACACAGACGGAGTGGAGGCCCCCAATGACATCGATAATCGAGGTTTTTGCCTGGATTATGTCCAGCAACCTTGCACAAGTGGCTTTTAACCTTGTGCCTAAAAGTATGCTTCACAATTTGTAAAGTAAACAACGCGTTTAAAATCGCTCAGAAATCGTTTCAATTGAGCGCGCTGTTAAAATCGCCAGCAAAACGCACAGATTTTTCGTATGTAATAAATATGTTTTATTTATTGATTTTCGTAATTAAGTTAGACATAATTTTTAGATTTAAGTTAATTTAGAAACACACTAGATTGTGTCGAGTGTTTTGGTACAAATTGAATGACAGGGCATTGGGATATCGAAATTTTTACTCACAAATCGAAATTCTAATATTAAAATCGTTTTTCAACTACTAATACAGGTTTATTGAATTACGTTTAATTAATAATACTTAGCTGAAGCAAAAACAAAAAATATACTTTAAATAACAGAAAAAAACACTATGAAAAACGCTTTTGTTTAAGGACATTTTCGTTGCTGTTGCTGCTTGCTTCCTTGTCGTATAAAAGGGATTTTTCTGGATTTTGGGCTCTGGGTTCGCTTGCTCGCCTGAGATCGCCAATTTCAGTCTGTGCGCGCATTGCCCGACTTGTGACGTCACTGGGATCGGGTTATCATTATCTCGGGTGCGATGCGGGGTTCTCTAGGGGGGTTGGGATGCTACGGAATTACTCTCCTAATCCTAATCCTAATAGGTTTGTATCAAGGCAGCCACGTGCTGTTTCTCCTCGTCGGTCAGACCGTTTTTCAGCGTGCGACGCACTGTAAAATAATTAATTAATATTATTTAAAAATAAATAAAAGAATATTAAAGATATAAGTTAGTCTGTGGCCAACATGCCGTATTAGATGTGTGGATCATGCAGGTATTTTTTTTGGAAAAACCGTTAAAACATGCTAGAGAAATTTATATATATATTTACAAATCGGTAAAAAAAATCAGGCGGTATAATACAGTGTTTTGACCCATTTTTCCCATGCATAGAAAACCAGATCTTAAACAAAATAGGGAGGCCTTTTAAGGATTTCACTTTCGATATATTCCATTTTTGATAAATAAAACTTGATCGAAAATTAAAATCGGTAGACCACAAAAAGGAAAAAAAAACAAAGCTGAATAACAGTTTCAGCCAAAAAAAAAGAAATTTAAACACAGGAATATATATAACAAGGTAAAAATTCAACTAAAATCAATTCACTAACCAAAGAGGTAAAACCTAAAAAACAGTGGCTGTTCTTTTGGCAACGGTTACAGCTACGGTTAACACTAATGGTTACGGTATCGGTAACAGTATCGGTATCGGTATCGGTAACGGTTACGGTATCGGGTTCTACGGCGATGGTGCTCTTTCAACTGTGAATCCTTCGCGCGTGCGGCTGCGCTTCACTTCGATAGTCAATAGTTCAGATTTGTTGGGTTTGGTTTTTTATATTTTTTTATTGGTTGGATTGGTGCGTTAATGGTAAAAGAACGAAAAGGAAATAAAATTAAAACCCAATATAAGGCAACAGATTCGTAAGCTTCGTAAGGCAAAACTAAGGGATAAAGTCACAAAAAGCTGCGAAATCGAGGGGCGAAAAATAAAACTGCAAGGATTTTTGGTGTAATTTTTGAATTTGGAATTTTGTGTGGGGGTAAAATCAAGAAATCTCGTATGTTCATTTTGACAGTGTCTCTTGTGGAATTCATGGTGATGTACTGTGTGTGTGTTTCTGGTTTCTGGCAGTGTCCAGCTAGAGGTTATAGACATAGCGCGCTGTGTGTGATTCGAAAAGATAGACCAACACCTCTTCATTAAAACTTATTCTCACTGGTCAGAGTTATGGACCTGGATCTCGATCAGAATCTGAACTTGTGGCTGCCTCAACTTACATGATTTGCGATCCGCGTGTCGCGTCCGCTTCCGTTCCCGTGGCGTGGTGCGTGTGCCCGGCGCCTTGGTGGCGGTCTTGACCAGAGATTCCAGTATCTCATCGTCCCCGTCGGTGAACTGCTCCTCGCTCTGGCGGGCAATCGGTGAGCGGAGCTGTTCCGCCCGGCGTCTGCGCCAGGTGAGAGTGCCATCAGCCTGGTCTGCACTGGGTGTGCCCAAAAGTGATCTGCAATTGGAGAGAGTAATCAATATATATATTTATCTAGGTTGGCAACAAAGTAGATTTCCCTAAAATTTGTTAAGGTTATTAATTTGGAATTAGATAGCGGTATCTGCCCATAATAAAATCATTTTAAATTGCTTATCACATTGTATTCTACAATACTAAACTCTTATCACTTGCTCATAAAGATAATATATCCCAGAAACCCCTTTGAACTGATATTATCAGGAATAGATATATTATTACTTTGAATTTGGGGAAGTACTACAAGGTTATCATTGGTAATTAATCTTTTAAAATTATATAAATTTGCAAGTTTTGCCAATCATTCTCATCAGTAACTTCTTTAGAATGTATAAATCCCGAAACTCACTTCAACTCGGCGTCGGCCACATCCTCTTTGGTCTTAAACTTGGCCATATCGATGATCAGCTTGCCGCGCGTCTTGTTCCGCTCGCGGTGATTGGCCTTCTTCTCCAGCTGCTGCTGCACTCGCTCCCGCGTGGTGCGGTACTCCAAGGCAAACTCGGACAGAGTCCGGCAGAACTCATTGGGTCGTGACTCTGCCACACTGTGCTGCGGCATTCCCAGCCACAGAAGGAACTTCCGATAGCGGTTCATCACACGCCGGTGGACTATCTGCAGGATAATGATGCGCTCGGCACAGTCGGCCAGGAAGTCCACCAGCTTTTGCTTCAATGGTGGCGGGCAATCGTGCTTTGCAATTAGCTTGAGGCGATCCCAGGAAGCCTTGCACTCCGCCTCCAGCTGGTTGAGATTGTGGGCGAGGTCGGTGAAGTCCGCCTTGGAGGCGCGTGTAATGGGTCCGATCTCCGAGTAGAGATCACTGGTGTCGCTGCTCGACTCCATGACCATGTGGCACAGGTGGTGCAGCAGCGAGTGCTTGTGGACTGTGTCCTTCACCTCGGGCACCTTGGACAGGTACTCGATCTGGAATCCCTTCACCGGAGCTCCGTTCAGGAAGATGCCAACGGACAGCAGGGTGGAGAGAATGGAGCGGAAGGTGCGGTTCTGACGCAGGATCTCAATGCCTTGTTTGAGATCCATCAGTGGTTCGGCAATTTCACGCTGTAAATGGGAGAATTATATTAATTATATGAAGTAGTGATAAATAGTGTCTTGATAAGCCCACCTCGCTGTTATCAAAGTCCAGACGGAAGGCCCACAGCTTTAGGCGCGCTCCCAGCTCCGAAATGGAGGCCAGGGTGAGCAGGAACTGCTCGGCGCTGCCCAGCGGCAGCTCCGGATTGGACAGCTGCGCCTCCTGGATCTTGCCGCGCTCCTCGTCCGTGGGCAGCATGTTGAGCAGCTTGTCGATGCCCTCGCGGGTCACCACGGTGGCGTCCATCTTCAGGATGGCCGCCTTGATGGCCCTCGGAGGAGGGAGCTTGGTGATCGCAATATTGATGGCATTGGAGCGTTTGTGGTCGAGCACGATGATCTCCTTGCTCTTGTTTAGCTCTTGTTGTTTCTGCAAGATCGGCGTGGTAGAGTTAGTAATATTCGATCAGAGTTCAATCGATCGGTGATAAAATACAGTGGTGCAAGAGAGTGAACGAGTAGAGTGTGGAGTGCAGAGTGCAGAGTGCGGATTTGTAGAGGATTTCTGTTCTGTTCTGTTCTGTTCGGTTAACTTTCGTGTGAGAGAGTGTGTATAAACCAACACCAAAATAAACACAAAACACAATATGGGCAACAGATCGTGAGTTATAGTGAGATATTTATGCAGAGAGATAGTGAAAGAAATAGAGACATGGGGACAAAGAAACTTAATAACTTTTTCAATGGCACTCACCTCCTAGAGACATTTGAAAACATTGGAATATTTGAGAATTATTTTCATTTTGATATTGAGTTTAGCACAACATTTATGTAGATTTATCCGCAAAAACAGCCCGTTCGACATTTATGTATTAGGAATTATACAAGAATCCATAGATATAGGGGAAAGAAGAATACAAAAATCATTCGAATTGTGTTAAACACATAAAAGAGACACTATAACTAGTTTAATCACGCTTAGCGTAGAGTCCTTGAATTTCGAAGACCATCGACCGATTGGGGTTAAATACTTAGGTAATATTGATTTAAAACTACGCACCTTGGTCATCAAGTCTTTGGCCCGGGACTCAAAGAGATGCTCGAGCTTCTGAGTGTCCACATTGGCATCGGGCAGCTCGTCCCAAATGGTCTTGCCCACCACCTGTGGTATCATATCCTCACGCACTTCCTTCCAGAAGAGCTTGACCTGTTGATAGATCACAAATTAAAATGTATTTAAAATAAAATCTTTTTATATAGTAATACCAACCGTCTTCTTGTTCTTTTTGATGGTGTTATTCCCGTTGACCAGCTCCCCGTTGACGGAACCATTTAGAGAACTATTGACACTGTTTGTGAGGCTGCCTCCATAACCAAACATTGGTGGTGGTGCCAGGCTGGGCGGCATCATGGGTGGCGGGGCAATGGCTCCTCCCAGAGGAGGAGGCGGTGGAGGGATGCCGGCTCCAAGTCCCCTTGGAGCCAGCACATCCTTCTCGTCATCATCCCTGAGATCCGTAAAGTCCAAATCGCAGAGATTCAAAGGCCGGGTCATATTCCTCACCAGCTCCTCCCAGTGGAGTTCATTCTCTGACTTTTTGGGCTCTGCCTTCTTAAGCTCCTGGTCCACACTCGATGATCTGGGGAGAGGAAGAGAGAAAACCTTAGGTCACCAAGATCGAAAGACTTTCCTAAGTTCTTTCTTTCTCCACAGATAGGGAGCTATCGGGGTAACGTGTTGAGAGGACTCATAAATGATTACTCGGACTTTATCGATAACAGACGCATGCCTAGCAGCACTATATACTATATATATATATATATTCCGATGAGCTATCTGAAATCAGGCGACAAGGGGCGGGGCAGACTACTTTCTTTAGATCCGAGAAACTCGATGACAAACGGTGATACGACCATGATTTTGAGGTGCTCCTCAGACTGGGCGAAAACCTGAACTCTTACGAAACTCCCGCATAAATCTAATCTATTAAATTTGCACAATGGACTCTCACATTATCGGCCTGCAGCGGCCATCGTTATCGATTCCCATCCAGTGATAAGGCTTGTTCACTATAATTCCCCGATTTCCGGGCGGTATAAAGCTGGTGGACCGGGCAAGAAATCTTCACATTTGTCAAGCGAGCAACATGGCGGATGTAAGTTGAGGATCGCTGCGATTGCTACACGGGACTAACTCTGTCGATCTTTAACCCCTCCGCAGTTCAACGCAATTCTGGAGAAGACCAAGGCCTTCAGCAAGAAGCCCCCCACGGAGGTCTACCTGGAGTTCTACGGTCTGTACAAGCAGATCCATGAGGGCGACATCTCCATCGAGAAGCCCGCCGATGCCGAGGGTGCCGCCAAGTACGATGCCTGGCTGAGCCGCAAGGGTACCTCCGTGGACGACGCCAAGGCCGCCTACATTGCCCTGTACGAGAAGTACAACCCCATCTACGGATAAAGTGTGATTTATAAATGTCTGGCCCACCTCCCAATAAATCTTGACCACCTTTGAATCTATATGGTTATCATCTTGGAAGACACTTGTCGATAGTTTCTTTATGGCTGCCAAGGCGGGGTTCGTAAAGCTTTGACACACTTGCTTATCTGCAGGGGATTAGCCTGAATTGTTATCTTTCAATGATGGTGCGATATTTGATCGTAAATCTAGAAAATTCAGTCTTTTAGGACTCAAAGATTAACAACTTTGAAACTGTATACGGTAAGGAAACTCTCGCTCGAGTGTAGAAATTAACGAGGTATACCATCTACCCAATGTAATATAATATAGTATAATATAGAGAATCCAAAAATCTAATCAATCTTATTGAATCGCAATTGAACATGATTTTTTACAAGTACTATCACTATCACTATCACTATCAATACTTCACTTCGCTTCGGATAAGAACTTTTATCCCTTTCAGAATGTCATTCAAGTGATCATTTAAAGAATTACATTTATCTAAATATAATATTATTCCAAATCAAATTGGATAGAAATTATCTTTCAAGATCTAATAGACATTAGACATTAGTCTGACCGAGATTACATTTAAAATTAAATAAGTCGCAAGGAACTATCTAATATAAAAAACCTATAAAATGTAGGATTCATAATCATTTAAGGTAACTCAACTCACCTGGATATCTCGCCCTTGCTTTTGCTCTTGGCCAGACCCTCTTTGGCTTTTGATATAAGACCGGACATGTCGCCGACAATGGCTCGGTTGGCCGACTCCTGCGTGGGACTCGTGGGCAGGTTGCTCAGCTTCTGGGTGAGATCCTTGACCGTATGGTCCCGCTTCAGCTGGAGCAGCAGCTGCTTGTCCTCGCTCTCCAGATCTGTGGAATACGATGGAAATTACACATTAAACTCTGTATGTTCTCTTCGAAAGGGCACTGAAAAGTATGCAGCGGCGCAGGCGCAATGCAATGTGGTTGAGCTGGCGGCGCTTGAGAATATGCAACACAGGTGAGAGTATACACACAGGTGAGGCAGGTATGAGAGAGAGAGTTAGGAGTGGCTAGACCCACCTGACGGATCCACGGGACGCGGCAACAGCTCGGGGTTAGTACTGGTTAGGGTTTGGGCTGGCGGCGGGCTGTTGTAGATGGGAGCATGCCACCAGCCAGGCGGTGGTGGTGGTGGTGGCGGCGGCGGAGGTGGTGGTGGTGGAGGCGCTCCCACTGGCTTTCGGACCGGACTGAGGGGCTCCGGTTCGGGCACTGTATCACACTTGACGGGCGTGGAACTCAACGGTTCCGGGATGAAATCGAATCCCGAGGCATTCAGCGTCTTCTTGGGACTCAGCAGCACTTCCGGCGCGGGTTGATCCTTTGCCAGGATCTGGTGCTTCGGCGACTGGCTGTAGTAGTTGTTCAGCCGGTTAGCTTCGTTCTCATACTTTTTGTAGGCACTGTCCGTCTGCTGTATGTTCTTCATGATTCCACTGATCACCGTGGAGTTGCGCTCCCGGAAGAGGTTCTTCTTGGTGAGGAACTCGCTCTGGCTGTTGTTGTGGTTATTGGCCTTGTCGAAGCTATTGTTGATGATGGAAATGCTGTGGCTTCCAGTCAGGAGCTGTTTGCTGGGGCTCATCAGCAGCAGGCTGTTGTTCGGCGTCTCATTGCTGCTAATATTGCTCAGATTGTTGTTGCCCAGGCTGCTCTGGTTGCCACTGACATTGTTGCAGGACTCGTGATGCAGCGACTCCGGCGGACTGTCGCCGCCCTGGACGGTGGCAGGAATGGCGGTTACGATTTGGCCTTTTTGTATGGAGCATCAGCATGGATGGTATGGCGGTATTTTTTGTGGTAATGGTTAGCATGATCAGCGGGTGAACAGCGGGACAACAACACACACAGTGATTAGCGTTTTGTTTGTTTTTTGGAGGGAGAGAGAATCACACGTTAGTTAGTTAGCAGCTGGTGAGGAGCAGCCAGAGATTCTAAGCCTAGAACTTACCCAGACCCTCGCGTTGGTCTAGAGCGGCAAAGATGCCATTGGCCGCCGCTTCCTGCTGCTCCTTGAGGAAGCTCTTATGCCGCTCTGCACGCTCTCGTCTTCTGCGGAGTCCTGGCGTCACTCCAGCTCCATCGCGAGCTAAAGGATAATGGGTTAAATATGTTTCCATTTAGTTTTATATTTAAATTCAAGAGCATACGTTTCTTTTCGTTAAAGAGTCCGCCACTAAACTCTGTAGAGTTGCCGGAACCGGAGCTGTCCTCGTCCAGGGTGGCCTGGGTCGGGGTCATCCGGAGCACTGTGGTGGGCAGGACCTTGGTGAGTGGCGCAGGGCTGTTGTCAGTGCTGTGACGTCGGGATTTGCGCCTCTCTGTGGTGTTTGCTCCGGGTCTATAGCGCTGAGTCTTCCGCATTGAGTTCTGGGGCAGACGCTGGCCATCCGACTCTCCATCCTCAAATCTGGGAGAGAATCATCATAATGATATATAAGAAATATTTACATTTAAAGCCAAAAACTCACTTCAATACAGCCTCGTACAGTTGCAGCTGATCGAGCAGATCCAAATCCGTGCCAGGCTTGGACATGTATCGCTGTATCACAGTCTCCATGCCCTGCTGCTCCAGGAGATCGCTCTCGTCATAGAAGCTATCCTGGTCATTGAGGCCAGCCAGGGTTTTGTTGATCAGTGACGTGGCATAGATGACCAGCTCGGCATCGGCATTATCATAGTCCTTAAGCAGTCTGAAGGGCAAACGGAGAGTTAATTTTTTTAGTCCATCTCTAATCTCTGACTAGCCCGAAAGTAGGCAATAGTTACCTCATTATATTCGACCAGGGCAGAGTGCCCTGGGAGGCATCCACCGCGTGAATGGCACTGACCAGCACATAGCAGTTGGACTCGGCGTATTCCACAAAGACCAGCAACAGCTTGAGGGCAGTCTTCACCACGGACCGGTAATTGGAGGCAATCAGCGAGTAGAGCCACTGCATCGTCGGCTCATGCTTCATCACGCCGTTCATCCCGTCCACATAGAGCATGACCTGCCGTTGCCGCCGCATCGAATGACATGATTAGTCGTCGTTGTCGATTGAAATCTCTCTAATGGGATGGGACCTACCTGTCCGAGGGCCCGCAGAATGTAGTTCTGATAGTTTTGGTCTGCACAATTGCCCACGCGCACGAGGCAATTGAGGCCGCCGAGGGCCACGAAGGCGTGCACCAGATCCTTATCCTCCTGAAACACCTGCTTCAGCGAGAAGAGAGCACGCCGCAGGTCGCTGCCCTCCGAGGATAAGAGTTTCTCTGCAAGAAAGGCCAAAAAAAGGATTCCCCATTGGTCACACGCTGCGTATGCGCAATAACTGCTGAATTCAACTCACCGATAATCGCATGGACGCGCACATTCAACTGCGTTCGCACCACCAACGAGTTCTTGCGGCTGTAAATAAATTTAATATATTAATGAATTTATATTCAAAATGTATTGTTAAGAATATCAGAATACAGAATTCCGAAAAAATACTTAATTTCTGCTTCCAAAAATAAGTTTTAAATACGTTTAAATTTACTGTGTCAGATCTTTGCTCAATTTCATAACAAAACGAAACCAAATGTTTGCTTTATGTATTATTATGGAATGCCGAAATAAGCCAAGAGTAAGCCACAATGGGGAGCTGCTGGCACCTCAAAGCCTGGCCCATTCCCATTCCCATTTCCAAACCCATTCCCCTGGCCAGTTCATTGACCAGCTAAGAACATTGATTACCCGCTGGTGTGCGCTTTGCTTCACCCCGGCACCACAGCTGGTCATAATAAAAGTAATAACAAACGACGCAGATAATTGAAAATGGACTATGAGGCGGCGGACATGGGCCGAGACTTGGAGATGGACTCACATATAGACAGAGTCCGCACAATAAAGGTGAGTGTCTGAGCCGGAGTCGAAGGCAAAGTCTCCGCAGACACACCTGTGACGGTAACATGTCTCCCTTTTTTTGCAGAGAGAAAAAAATGCAGATAGTATTTGATAATTTGCTAGGTTTTATTTCATTTAAAGATTAAAAATCTCAGCTGGGAGAAAAAGTTTTTGTAATTGTGGGCAAACATGTTATGATAAATTATCTAAATTAATTACCCACATCTTCAAAAATCAATCCGATTACCCAGTGACTGAGGCAATCGCCTCTGGTGCAGTGGGCTTCTGGCTCAAAGCCCAGCGGGCAATTATAACTTTTATTTTGGTGGTTTTTCCATAAGTTTATGGAATTTCCATTGGAAAGAAAAAAGTCTTGGTGCTCTACAAAAAATAATACTCTTAACCTATAGACTTAGCAGCTTTTATATTCTTTTTAGGGAAATGCAAAGAGTAGTTTTTCTTTGTCTGTGTTCATCATTTAACAACCTGCTAAGTAGTGAGAACTTCCAACTAGATCTGTGTAATTATAAACCGTTTAATGTATGGTTTCATCATTAATTTCTTCCTGTGTGCAGATTGACAGCGACGGGTAGCTTTTGCGGAATTTTGATGCGAATTGAAGCGCATGATTTGCATGCGAGCTTGCGCTGCCATGACTAATGCGATAAGCATGATTAGTGGGCATCGGTCTGCGCCGCCACTCTTCGCTGGTCCAAGGAACACACTCTACTCCATGGCCCTCCACTATACTCCACTCCACTCCACTCCCATTTGGCGCCACAACACTCGTAAATAGAGTGGGGACGAGCTGCGGTGCAAAGTGGCGGCAATTTGCGCAGACGCGGCGACATTCACGTTATAATTTCACAGAGCGCCCAGCCAGATATGGCTTAGATGGTGCTCCGCCCCTTAATGACTGATGATCATCACGGAGATGCGGTGCAGAAGTGAAAGTCAGAAATAGACCAGGAATCTATCAATCTATGTAAGCATCCTTGTCTCTTCCCTCCGGCAGAAGGTTAGCCAACTCCAGATCATTGACTTTGAACCACTGCCCCCGGTACGGTTATGGTTATGGCCAAGTTTTGCTGCTGCCAACATCTTTATTTTTCTGAGCTGCTGCTGTTGTTACTTTGACACTTGTGCCCCGTCGCGTACATCATTTTTCTTTGTGCCTCTCGACTTTTTTTGCAGTTTATTGTGAAGCTGCCTTAGCGCCTGCCTTTGTCATGACATCACGTTCCATAGTCAGATCGCGAATAAAATAAAGACGGAAAACTAAGAACTAGAAAAGTTTCGAGCTAAATTCGACTGGGAAGTACCTCAGGATGGGATTAAGGAGTACTAAATAAGGGTAAGACTAAAAAAATAGTAATATTTTCTATGAGTTGATGAGATTTTTAAACTAAATGCAATGCCATTTTGCTTCCAAAGTTTCCTATATAAATATCTACAGACCTAAAAATCTGTGAAAATTAAGTCACAACTTGAAGAGAACCCTCTTCATTTAAGGGGTATTTGAAAATGTACTTGTGCATAAATAACATGCATGCCAGTTATGAGAAATGCCCGCAAGAAATGTAAATATAACAACTACAGAGCTGCGACAACGACTCAAAACTGACGTGGCAAGCGTTTTTATTTTGTCTTTTGTGTCAGTCTCAGACTCAGACTCTGCCTCCTTGCCGCGGATTAAATGCAAATTAACTGCGGCAAAGGCAGCAACAAGTTGCACGTACCACTGCAATGTCGTGGCATGCAAATGTCTCTCGGGCAGTCTCTGTAGTGGAGTGTTGCAGAGTGCCAGAGTGGCAGGCAGGTAAGCAGCTAACCAACTAACCAGGTAGGCTGCAGATAGACGGACTCCGTTTCCTGTGCCTCAGATAGCGACAGTTTGGTTTTTTTATGGCCTCCGCCAAATAACTTTATTAGCGAGCGATGGCAATGTCGGCGGTCCACCATGGCGTATGTGTAATATGTTGCATTTCGGTGAAAGGCTGACAGAGCCACCCACGATCAGCTGCCCCAGTAACCCAGAGGGGATCGACTGTTTGCCTGGTCCGGTTGAGATCAGTTTCCTGATCAGCTCTCCTTGATGGTCGAGCAATACAAATAATTTGTAAGATAAGCCCACCAAAGTCACAAGTGATGGTAGTGAAAGTCTATTTTCTATAAAGTCAAACCTAATCAACTGATATGCAAAAGAATGTTACTTTTGGACTAGAATTTACGTTTTTAAATAATTTAAAAAGTATTTCAAACAGATGTTTGATTGTGGCAGGAAATGGTTAGTTTAGCCTGCGGGAAAATGGGTTCAAGGTAAGGCAGCAAAAGTGAAAAATCTACCGAGAGTGGGTGCAGTGCAGCACCAGGTGGGCACAACCACAACCAATGTGGGCTTTTGACAATTCGTTTCTGTCCAGGCTCATTAGCCAGCGTTTTGGGTCAGCTGTGGGAGCTAGATCTTTGTAGGCACTCACCTGGCATTGAGACCCTCAATCTCCTCCGTTTGCTCGGCCAGAGATGACTCCAGGTCCAGATAAGCACCATAGTCACCATCCTTGTACACTTGAATGGCCGCATCATCGATCTGCAACGAGGGAAAAGGAGAAGCTTAGTTTCGCCGGCAATTATAATTAAAGTCTGGCTAAAAGTAAATGGCAACGGCCATCCCGCCACTACCGCACTACGCAGTAAAAGTTGTTTATGGTCTCGGATCTCCAGAAAAGAGAAAGAAGTCGATGGAGCCGGCGATGGTTGTGGAGATGCCGATGGAGTTTGAGGTTGCACTTCGAGAGGTTCATGTGCTGCTGCAGCGTAGAACGTTTTTTGATGCAGTGAACAAAATAAGGATATTGTTGTGCATAATCGGAGAATATGAGATTAATATTTTGAAACCGTATCCTAGGGTCTAAGCTTCAAAGAGCTGAGAGACTAGAAGGTTAGGTACCAAAAGAATTTTAAACATTGAAATAAATACCGGCTTTACCATCAGTTAAATTTTATTGTTTGGTTCAAATATTTCCTAAGTATATAAATATATCAAATAGTATCAATAGTATCATAATTTTTTCTCAGTGCATGGACGATGCTGCATTGAAAGTCCGCAGACGATTTCGTTTAGGCGCGCATTGAGGCCGACTCTTGATTGCTGGCCAAGACTGAGCGAGTGGCCAAGAGTGAGACCAAGATGACGCGTCGTCGCCGGCTGGTCACCTACTTTTCTCTGCTTTCGGTTTTCAGTTTTCCAGCCGCTGATTGATCAAGCTCCTGCTGCTTGAATCCGCTGATTGACGGCGGTCGCAGCCGTTGTTTTATTGGCGCATTGAAAGTAATTATTTCTGCATTTACAGAACAATTACCGGGCAACATGGAATTATCTGTGTCGACCGGCTGGCTGACTGGCTTAATGTGTGAAAAAGTAAACAAAACGAAGACAACAAAATATCGTCTGTCATCCGGGTGGAAGATTACACATACGCCCCTTTGGACACGCCTCGGCATTAGCTGAAAAAAGCAAGCTGGCCTTTTGTCTGGCTTCTATTTCTCTACCCTTTTGGCCAAGACACACCCTCAATGAAACTAATCGCATGTCCTGAGGGCTTAGCCGTCATTTATGAGGAAACTATATTTAGGTATTGACCAGGCCAATGACTTTTCCAGGAATCTACAAACAAACACATCACTTCCCTAGGAATAATCTATTACTGCATTTCACAGAACAAACATGAGCCATGACTACTAACTTTATTTTATACACTTGCTTCATTCAATAATTTCCAAGTGAAATGACTCGCCGCCACTTGAGTTCACTAAATAGTAAAAAAATATTTTCCCAAAGTGCCAGGCTGTCTCGCGAGTCACGATTTCTTATCAAAATGAGAGCTCTCGACTTCCACACATTTTTCCCTGCAAATTTTGACTCAGGTCAAGCTTCCGCATGTTGATTCAGCATTTGGGCAGAGGAAAACAAAACTTTCTAGACCGTCATTGTTTGTCCAAAGACGGACCGGAGATTCACATTCAAATTATGTGTCAAATGTGTGCTCTAGTCGGTGGTATTTATAAACGCCTCTTTATATAAGCCATCGGGCAATTAAAATCAAAGCAAACATCTACAGCACGCTCTATGGCCAGAAACTATACCCATTCCGGCTCGCTTTTATGATTTATTTATATTTCGCCTCGTCTTTGACTCTTATATTCAAAATCATTCATTCATTCATTCACAGCTCTATGCAAATTTAATGTTGCTTTTTTTTTGTTTGGAATCCGATGTCGGGTTTATTTTTTCTTCTTTTACTTGAGTGAAGCATGACATGTTTTTTAATCAAAATGATTTTTGGCAAACACATAAATGTGGCTATTGACACAGTTAAGGCGGCGAGCATAAAAATCGACGAGGAGAAAATTGAAAAAACGCATGGCATATTCACAGAAAATTAAATATGGTTCGAAAAACAAATAAATATTATCAAATTATTGAAAGTCAGCTCGAAATCAAAATAAATAATTAACGATTCAAAATTAATTTTCATTAATTTATCACATTTTATGCGGACAAATATGGAAAGTCAATTTAGGAGATAATTTTAATGGAGAGGCGAGTCAAAGAGGCATGGGTAATTTATAACTTTAACTATTAAATATATATGTATGTAGTAATGATGGTGATTTATAATCGGTAATGACTGCATGACACATGCCTATCTTCATGGCTGGATTGATATCTAACCTGGAGTTAAATTACAAGTATATGTTATTATTAGACCTTAATATCTACTCATTTAGATTGGATCAAAGGCCGCTAACAATCTACAAGTGAAGGAACAAAGAGCCACATTGTCTGACCTTGTTTTTAGTTGGCCGATATAGGTGACTAACACTTTTGCTTTCACATCAATCAAAGTTGATTGACCCTCGGCTGACCGCAAAATCGGACGACGGACGGCGATGCTAATTGAACTTAAAGAAACTTCAAAGACGCGGGGAGGACTTGTGCAAATGGTTTCCGCAAACATCCAGAGATGCGTAAGTGTCAACGTGGCTCAAATATTTGGCCAACGTGAGCAATTTGTAAATGGATAATGGAAAATTTCCCGGCCTAGCCAAGCGTGTGAATCGAACTGAGCCCAATTGATTGGCTTTGAATTTAAATATTGTCCGGCCGTGTGAATGACACATGTAAGTGACGCAAGCCTATATGTCCCCAATACAGCGATTATCATCATCACAATTAATTAAATTAGTTTTTTGTTACATTTATTTACTCAACCGAAAGAGCGTTTCAATGCGATTGATGTGGCTTTTCCCCTCGACTTTTATACATTTTCTATAAATTCTTTTATCTGCCTTTGTTTGGTTTCCATTGATTGGCAGTACTTCATATATGCTTATCTTATTCTAGTATATTTTTTTGCTTTTCTAAGGTGCCTAATGCAAAGGCAAAAGCTACAAAATTAATTGGCAAAAAGAATAACATAACAAATGGAAATCAAAACAAAGTGAAATAATCATTTTTTACGAAGGTAAGCGAATAGTTGTATGCTCTATTATTTGATTTGATTGGGTTAATAAAAAAAAAGTTATTGCAAATTTATAAATTGTTTTAGCTTTAAATAGTTACCAAAATAAACGAACTTATATTCAGATATCAAATTTAAGTTTTAAATATATTTGTTCAATTTAAAGTGTACCTGATATATATTAATAAAATAATTTTCTTTATATAAAATATTAAATGTGTTCCCAAATTATAATACCATTAGTTAGAAAATTACCCTTTCGATGACTTAATTCGTTCATAACTGGTATACTTATATACCCTACACCCCTATATTCATTTTTTGAAGTTCACATCGTCTTATTGGCCGGCAACGAGTTGTATGTATATAAATAAATAATCATATTTTTAAGTTTGTGGCTTTTCAATCTGCTTGACTCGCACTGGCCTGATGTCTGATGTCATCGAAGAGCCGTCGACATCGCCGGAGATTACCGATCGGCGAGGCGAAAATTTATTGATCTATTGTAATGCGCTAAATTTAACAAGTTGCATGGGAGCCGGGCTCTGGGCTCTGTTCACTGACTAATTGGACAAATGGCATTTACAGCTGCCGTTGGTGCACTTTTCCAGATCTGCAACTGGCTGCCACATAAATCTGCCTACGACAACAGCATCCTGGGCTGGGGGAAGCCAGAACTTCCTTTTGCGATTTGCTCATTAGAATTTATTGCCGCCGCTTGTCAAGATTTACGTATCCTTGCGGCACTAGTGGCCCCACTCGCTCCACTGGCTCCACTCCAGCTCCCAACTGGATGGGATGACAGATGACAGGCAGGGAATGGGGGCTCCTTAGTGGCTTTTTTGCAAATTAGTCACAGTCAGGCCCAAACAATGGCAGGCTTAGATAATTGCTGGCCGGCCCTGGCTTTCACAATAGTTGTGTGGAGTGCTAAGGCCAAGAAGTCGGCCCCAGCATGGCCCAGGGCTCCAGCTGGTGGAGCTCTTTTTCCAGCTCCAACTTCCTATTAGTTGCCACAGATTGTGCGATAGCAATAAGTTAGCCTGGCCGGGGGCCCGATGCTCTTCCCCAACGGATCGACCAGGGCCTGGGCCTGGGCCAGAGCCAAGCCCTCGTCAGATCCAGAGCCTCCGGTCCAGAGCCGCATCTGCCATTGTCTTCTCTGGCTGAGGATCTCCTTTTCGGAGCAGAAGGAAAGGGTCATTGCCTTGCAATGCATCATTTGCTCATATCGCCCAGATACACAATAAAATATTATAATAAATGTTAAACTATATCTTGTTTATATTCTTGGATTAGGGTAGAGTTGAATAACATTTGCATCAGGGGCACACAAAAATTATGATTTAATTCTACATTCCCTTCGACTTCCTGCTTAAGTTTACCTTTGTTTTTCTCACAGCTTAAACGCTTGGCAATGGCAAAGTTTGCCCTCTGTTATTGACCAATTACCATTTTTGCGAATTTCCCCTAAAAGTTTCTATCCATTTGTTATAGTTGTGGTTTTTCCAATTCAACGCTCTCTCTCCTTCTGGCCGCAAATAAAACTTATTCCGTTTCAATTGACCTATTCTAGGCACAGATTTCCTCTTCCCTTCGAGCCATTCCATGGTTTTTAGTTTTGTGGCTAAACTTTTTTGTTGTATTTCGATCAAGTTTAATCTTTGCCTTTCATGTGGTATTTCCTCAAATAAATCAATTGTAGGTTTTGTTTACTTTTTCATGTGTTTTTTTGCCAGGAGCAATAATGGCTCCCTCCCAGTCCTGCTTACGTCGAACGAGTTATAATTTTTTTATTCGTTTATTTTAATAGGAAATGTGGAAGCGATTTAGAACGATAAATGCGTCCAAACACGCTATGCAAATTATTGTGTTGAGCCGCAAAAACCTCACTGAAATATGCAAAATTTAATTTGTATATTGGTGGCATCACTTTGCAAATAACAGTGGGAATGATAAGTTAATGCTTAGAACCCAATCAAAACTTTTATCATTATTTATTTTTTAATTTATTGTATAAGATATTTTAGTTACTTATCAAAATTTAAAATATAAAATTAAAAAGTCTAGTGATCGACTGACTACATACTTTTATTAGTTACTGTTTAACTAATCAACAGTTGTATCTGAGTTTTGCGATTGCAAAAAACTGTCGTCATGCCATAGAAATACATTTTTAGTTTGGCGAAAAACCTTCGAAAACTATAAGGTAGTCAAAGAATAATACCTAATCCAAATCTTGATCGTGATAATGCCTTTATTCACTCCTTAATGAATAAAAAAGTATCGCGTAAATGCGCAGTAAAAGAGTTAATGTCTTTTCATATTCGAATGTGTGTTTTGTATGGCTTTGTAAATTTTTGCTTAACAAAAGATTTTTTCAGCTGAAAGATTCAGTGATAAGCTAACAGAAGATAAGCTAAATCCAGTTAAGACCCCGAAAAGAAAGGGGTTTTTAGGTACTTCTTGTTGACTGTTTAAAACCGAAGAGTCAGAAGAAAAGGGAAGAAAGAGATTACATTGTATTGTGGAATAAATACTAAAGTAAATAGAATAAATACTTAAGTAAATAGAGTTAGTTGCATAAATAAATAATTTAATTTAAAAGCCTTTCAGTTATGCTTTAGGAATGGTACAGCATATAAGATTTTGAAGAAACCTTTCAGTAAATGATTGTGTGAAAAAAGCACTATAAAAGAAGTTAAAGAATATACTCAAAATATAATCCATTAAAGCTGATTTTGAACCAATATTTTATAGTGTAAATTATAAATGTATTTCAGTAAGTATAATCCTTATATATGTAATACTATAAAAAGATTTAAAGTATCTTATCTTACACTGTGCGGTGCATTCAGGAGCCTTAGGATGGTGGCCAGTTGGTGGCCCAGTGGCATGGTGGTGGTGAAGGCGTAGGTGGGCGCCCGGACTGGGATCGGGAAGGCGGTGCAGGCCGAGAGGGGATCACTGTCCACCAGGTACTGCACTCGGAACGTGATCAGCTCGTCGGGCTCCATTTTGACAATCATTTTGGCTGATTCGTTTTGGCGGATTTCAATCACTTTTGCACATTGGTCTTGTATTTGATTTGCGTTTATTTACTTTTCCCGATTTTCACTGTTGTTTATTTACATTTTCACTTGATCTCGAACTGGAAATGGATCGTTTTTTGTTTTTATTGGCATGAATTTCTGGTGTTTGCTTTAGTTTACTTGCAATTTGTTTTAATTTTTGAGTCGAGCCAAGCCCCTTCTCAGCGAATTTGAATCGAAAACATTGTTGCATAATTGTACACACGCATGTTGCGCAATTTTATGCTAAATATTGCAAATTGTTGGCATGCCACGCCCACCCTGGCGCCCCCTTGAAGCTAACCGAAGATTCGAATAGCATAATTGCTATTCCGAACCGGCTCGCGATCTCTTTTCTCTTTATTTGTGTAAATATTTGTCTTGGATTTCTGGTTGGACGACAATCTCGCCTTGGCTCATAACGCCAATGTTGATGATGATGATGATGACGACGGTTGTGTAACTTTCAATTCAATGTCAATAAAGAAAAATAGACACCCGCCCCGATGCGCTGTTGCTATATTTAAATCATCAGCATGCAGGGCATTGCCTCAAATCGAAACCAAATCAAGCCTGAAATATCAAGAAGGCGACGTCTTGGTGCCTTTACACTTAGAAAAAATAAGGAGGAGTTGCGATGGATTGTAGCTTAACAAACCTAAATATAAATTTGTTTTTATTTAGTAAAAAGATAGTGTTTAAACATAGTCAATGTTTAAGTCTAATCAATGGCAAGAATGTTTTTGAAGAGCATTTCATGGTGACATCAAAACTATCTTAAATATAGCCTGTCTTGTCACTAATTGATGTATATTTTACTATTAAAAACTATTGGATTAAATCTTAAATTAAAAAGTATTTAAACCAACTAGTAAACAACAGACATTTACAAATCTGAGAACAAATTGATTGAGAGAGTAATAAGTAATAGTTATATATTGATGTGTGCAAATATTTCAAATTAAATCTGACAAGTGCTGTAATTATACATACGTATAAACTTGGATAGGATAAGAATTTAAAAAAATTAAAAATACAAGAAATTTCATTCTCACTTTTTTAACGATATAAAATAATTTAAAAATAGTTACATTAAATCCTTGAAATATCTTCAATTGGGCATAATATTCAATACTAGCTGTATGTGGAACATTGGCCTTAAATGATGTATCTTTTACTAAATTATATCAGATCTAAAACAAGATTTTATGAACCCTTGAAATATCTTCAATTAATCAGGAATCTATCTATATATTATGCCCAAATTTTCGCTCAGTGTACATCTATTGCTATCTCTGCCCCACAAGATACCGCTAAATGTCAGACGTTATGTGCGCTGTTTATGCAAATATGCAAGAGAGACGGTCGCTGCTGCAAAGGTTTCTGCGGTTTATGGGCCGAGGGCCTGTTAACGAGGTTCTTGAGTGGTCGTGGCTGGTAAGTTGGTAAGTTGGTAGCCGGAGTTCTGCCCCCGGTACAAGTGCCCCGCATAATTGTTCATAACGTGACTCTAATGGACGCCGCCGGAGTTGGTCTTGAAGTTGGATTTGGACTTGGACTTGAAGTCGCGGCTCAAACACTTGTCGCACGCTGACATTGAACTCGGCGGAGGTCCGAAGACGGTTGGGAAATGTCTCGAAAATGCGATGAGATGGAATGAAATGAGATGCTTGCTCGTATTTTAGAAAGTATTTTTACGAGTTTACACGTAAAGAAGACAATTACCAATTAGATAATTTATTATTAAGAGCATACTAAAGTTTTGTAGGAAAACTAAGAGTAAGTAAGTAATATTTAATATAAATGAAGATTATTAACGTGAATTTGTCTATACAAATTAGCATACTTTAAGCAAAATATAAATAAGATAAACTATAATCAAAAATCAAGCAACTGGTTGACCTATAATTTAAAATATTACTCAATACTATTCACATCAATAAGCTTTCTTTTACCAAGCAATTAATAAATTCCTTTACTACCATTTTTCACTTAACAGATTCTCGTGGGCTACCATTTGGCAATTTGCCAAAACACGTTTACCAATAAGTCACTTTGGAACTTGAAATTTGTACTATACAACATGTAATTATTTAGTATTTTAGCAACTAACTCAACACATTTTTCACAGATGCCAAGAGTGGCGGCTTTTAAAAAGCCACAAAAAGCGCGCTTAATTGCAATAATTCATTGCGAAGCAACAGCGAACAGCAATGTGAGGTAAATACGACACAAGAAAACAAAAATAAAATACAACAAAGCAAAATGAAAGCCATAAAAAGGCTAATAAAAGCGGCCAACAAAGGGAAAACAAAAGCCAAGAATATTGTGCAAACGCAAACAGCTGTTCCAAAGCCCCGGGTTCGGTTCGAATGCCCGATTCTGGCGAACGTCGAAATACGGAATGTGAAATGAAAAAATAAAGTCGAGTCATTAAGCACTGAACCGAGGTGTTTTCAGGTGGGCTTTAGGGCCGGGCCAAGGGTCCCCTCCAGAAAGGAAGTTACCAACAAAGAGTTAGGGTTTAATTGAAAGACAGAGCGCAGAGCAGGACTGGCAGGAAGAAGACGACATGCCTTGCCAGGCTTCTTTTTCTTGTTTCTTTTACAAAAAGCAGGTGTGCCAAAACCGAAACCAAAATACGAATCCCAGCTAAAGAACCGGCAGAAAAAGCCAACTGCCAAACCGGCAACAACTTGTTCTCAACATGCGAAAGTCAAGTTACAGCCGGCTGCCTTTTGGTTTCGTTTTTAAAAAATTGAAAATGAAGTCAGAGCCGGCCCGAAGAAGAGATTTTACTTTCACGCATATAAAATGCCAGTTTATAAATGGACTTGGACTTGGACTCGGGCTCCTGGCCAGGCCGGAACTCTCGATTGGCCAAAAAAGGGTTTCGCCCCAGTCAAAAGTTAAGTGTCCATCGGTGAAAATTGCTGTGGCGCTCGTCGTCTATGGCTTCCTCATTGCCGGCGACGTGCAGAAATTTAATGAAATTAAATAAATATTACAGGAAAACTAAAAGCCATTGTACAGGCTGGCATATTTAGTTACAAATTACGACAATGGCGCCGGAGACCGATGTTGGCCATATTAAAGTGTAAATAATTTATGCAAATGCTGCAGTCAGTCGCGCAATTTGGCAGCAGCGGCACCCACAACAGAAGCAATAACAAAGGCAGCAATGAGATACACTTGAAAAAAAAAACAATAACACATAAAAACCCATTTAATAATACAAAATAAGCAACCCTGGTTTAAAGTAAATATTACCAATTAACATATAAACTATAAGATAATTGGGAACTTGTTAATTGAAAAGCAATTTATTTTGTGCCACAGGCAAATCTTAATTTGGTAATTATAAGCACACACTAATTTTCCGTTTTTCCGGTCAAGAATTATCCGAAAATGACCCCCAATTTTCGGCTGGGTGTACAGTAACCACTGGCAGGTAATGAAACCCGCCCGCTGGCTCAAGGAAACTCTGCTGGTCTCCTCTTTTTTTTGGTTTTTTCTTCTTTGCGACTCCACTCGCCTTGACTCGCTTAAATGAACTTTCACTTTTTAGTGCCTTGTGGTCGTTTACTGGCTTTCCAGCCCCTCGTCACCCCATCACCTCGTCACCCGCAATCCGCCGTCCGCCATCCGCCATCCTCAGACTTATGTTGCAATCGCTGGAGGAGCCAGCAAGTCGGGCTGCTTCTTCGCTTTTTATGCCATCAATTATGCAAATTTTCCTTGCCGCGATGGCTAATAACTTAGCAATTTCCCAAAGACGCTTAATTGACAGCTACTGTGCAGCGACATTAGCAGTCTTACCCACGGGGCTTCCATATGATCCATTAAATATTACCGGATGATCACGACTCAGATATGTGCTCTCCACAGAGCATTGACATTGATGGAGTTCAGGTATATTTTTTGGGGGGAGGGGAAACCGGAAGGAACTAGTAATTTGAATCGTAACCAGATAATAATATATCCCTTAATTTCTCGCAGTGTATGTTTATTTACTGCTAATTGTCGCAACAGAAAGTCAAATGAACCAAATCATTGTGGAATATATTAAAATAATTAGCTTTGCCATAACAAAATCTCATAAAATCGAATCTGTTTATAGGTCATTATTTATTATTTGCTGACTAAGTGCTAAAAAAAAACCCAAGTATTTCTATTCCTTATGAAATATCATCTATACCTCGATCATTCATGATTAAATATCTCTTTCAACAAGCTGAATTTATCTTTGGCATAATCACTCGACACCTAATCGAACTCAATACATATTTAGCTTATTAATTAATAAGTCATATTGATTACTTTATCTTAAAATCTGCACTAAAACGTAATATTTTATAGGGAAACATTACACACGTGACACTTGATCGATTTCAAGTTCACTCAAAGTTGTACTATTTAATTTGGTTTACTTGTTACTTCAAAGGTTCGATTACTTATCATTAAGTTCACAGCAATGTGAACAACCCAACGCGTTGTCTGAGATACCAGGCATTTGCGATACTTATCGCCGACTTAATAAAGTCATAAACTCAGATAGGTTCAATAAGTTCGCAGAATGCGAAAAAAAAATAAAAACGAGGGGGAAATACGCTGAAAAAGCTTCCCACTTTGGCTGTGGCCATGCCTCGCTGAACAGCAAATATTTTTGGCCATACAAATTCAAGAAGAAATAAAGGAATACCCCAAGTATAGGCGAGCATATGGGCTCGGGGAAGCACATTCCTCGACGATTTGTCACGCCAAGATCGGAGTGCTGGAGAAAACGAAACTAAATGCGTTTTTCCAAGACACAAACAAACAAATAATTTGAGCGTGGCTTTCTGGTTGAGGAAGGAGAGGGGAAAAGGGTTCTCCGGCAATCAGAAGAAAAGTTGTTTGACCTCTTGACTGAATGACTGACTGACAGACGGCCTGGCCTGGCTAACAGACTGCAACACATAAAATTGTTAAGCGACTGCATTTAAAAATAATTTCAACTGCCAATAACAGAAACACGGCGAACAACGATGATTGGCCTGGGCACAGGGACTGAAACTGGGATTCAGATTGAAGCTAAGAG